TACTACTACTACTACTACTACTACTACTACTACGGCTACTACTACTACGACTACTACTACTACTAGTACTACTACTACTACTACTGCTAGTACTACTATTACTACGACTGCTTCTAATATTACTACAGGACCTACAGCTACTACTGCTGCTGCTACTACTGCTACTACTACTACTACTACTACTGTGACTACTACTACGACGACGACTACGACAACAACTACTACTACTACTACTACAACTACTACTTCTACTGCTACCACGATGACTACGATTACTACTACTACTACTACTACTACCACTACTACTACTACTACTACTACTGCTACTACGATTACTGCTACTACTATTTCTACTACAAGAACTGATACTACTACAACTTCTACAGTTACTCCTACTACAACAACAACACCTACTACTACTACTACTACTGCGACTACTACTACTACGACCACGACTACGACTACGACTACGACTACTACTACTACTACTACTACTGCTACTAGTACCACGACTATTACGACTAAGACTACCACGACTACTACGACTACTGCGACGACTACTACTACTACTACTACTACTGCTACTACCACTACTACTACTGCCAATACTACTACTACTACTACTACTACTACTACTACTACTACTACTACTACTACTACTACTACTACTACTACTACTACTACTACTACTACTGCTACAACTCCTACTACTACTACTACTACTACTACTACTACTACTACTACTACTACTACTACTACTACTACTACTACTACTACTAACTACAACTACTACTACTACTACTACTACTACTACTACTACTACGACAAATTAAACAAGAAATTAAAACAGTAACAAGCTAAAGAAACAATAAATCAACGCAAACTCAGAAAAGATACAGCTACTACTGCTACTACGACGACTACTACTAGTACTACTAACTACTACTACTACTTACTGCTACGACGACAAGTACGACACGACGACGAACGAAAAACGAACTACGGCGCAACTAACTACGACGACGACGACGACTACGGCGACAACGACTACTGCCACTCCTGCTACTACTACTACTACTACTACTACTACTACTACTACTACTACTACTACTACTACCACTACTACTACTACTACTACTACGGCTACTACTACTACGACTACTACTACTAGTACTACTACTACGACTGCTAGTACTACTATTACTACGACTGCTTCTAATATTACTACAGGACCTACAGCTACTACTGCTGCTGCTACTACTGCTACTACTACTACTACTACTACTACTGTGACTACTGCTACGACGACGACTACGACAACAACAACTACTACTACTACTACAACTACTACTTCTACTGCTACCACGATGACTACGATTACTACTACTACTACTACTACTACCACTACTACTACTACTACTACTACTACTACTACTACTGCTACTACGATTACTGCTACTACTATTTCTAGTACAAGAACTGATACTACTACAACTTCTACAGTTACTCCTACTACAACAACAACACCTACTACTACTACTGCGACTACTACTACTACGACCACGACTACGACTACGACTACGACTACTACTACTACTACTACGGCCTTACTCGTTAC